ATAAACTGATCTGTATGGAACTGTCTTGTAAAGGCCCCCAATTACCTACAAAGGAATAAATATGTGACACCCCTTGTCGACCGCTCGGACGATTTAGCCACTGTGGGCGTATGTTTCATTGCCTGGCAACCTATCTTTGATTTGTTTGTCTGTGTGTTGCTTACAGGCCACAATTTTTAATTGATCGTCTTGGAATTTGATATAAGTATTCCTTATGGCCTAAGGACAGAAACTATTGATTTTGGTGCATGTCCCAGCTCCTAGGGCCAGAGCCACGGCCAATTTTTGTGTTAAGCGTATGAAGGCCACAATTCTGAATGGATTATCTTGGAACTTAGTGTACTTATTCCTTATACCCCAAGGGCGGTAACTATTGATTTTGGTACATGAATGAATGAAAAAAAAAAAAATACTTATAAAGCGCCATTTCCAGAAAACTGCTCAACCGCGCATGGGAAAATTTATCAATGACAAAAAGATGAAACACTAGTCAAACGGAGTCTTATCACAGAAGGCTTCACGGAAAAAATGTATCTTCAGTCTCGATTTGAAGATAATCAATTTTGTCCAAAGCTCTAAGCTCCAGGGGGAGCCGGTTCCACAAGTAAGGACCAGCAACCATGAAAGAGCGGTCTCCAAACAAGGTACGGGATGAACCCCCCCTTTGGGCGGTGACAGTGACACACCCACTTTTTGTTAATATTTTGTCTGTAAATAATCTACAGGTTGCAATTATTAACATATTTGGATTCAATTCAGTATGATCCATCATAGGGCTGTACCTATTTATACTGTTCCATGTCCAACCCCCAGGGACAGAGTCATGCTAAATTGTTACGTTATTTTGTCTACAGACTGGAATTCTGAATCTGGCTTTCTTATACTGCAAGAACAGCAAATATTTATTTTGGTGCATGTCCCGACCCCCAGGAGAGGTGTCACACACACTTTATTTTAAAAAGTACCAAAGCAGGAATGTGGATGTATATTCCAGCGAGAGCGGTGCTCTTGTTTTTTTTTTACATCAAAAAAAAAATCAGCCTTGTTCTTTGTTACATTATCGACTTGTGTCAATATTTTTTGATACCAAAAAACACTTGTAGGAGATTCTCTATTTATACCAAATACTGATTCGTTTGTTTGCAATTATTTTCCACCTAAATTAATTTCAGTACCCTTTTCTCTCTCTCTGTGGTAATTCATGTGTAGAGTTGTCACTGTGTTGGGTTTTTATATGCCCACATTGAAATGTGGTCGTATATTGTTGTCGCCCCCGTCCGGCGGTCCGGCGTCCACAATTGCTTGTGGACGCTCTAGAGGCTAAAGTTAATATCAGATTGACTTTATATACAGTGTTTAGTTTAAGGCCATGAGACGAAGAAGACTATTGATTTTCAGCAATTTACGATAATTACTGCCAGAGTTATGGCCCTTGATCACTTTGAAAAATCTTGTGGCCGCTCTAGAGTCTAAAGTTAATATCCGATTGACTTCAGATTGATACAGAGTTTAAGATCTTGAGGCGAACAAGTATATTGATTTTCAATGAATTTTTATGACTTGGAACAGCTAAATCCATGATACAGTATTAAAAGTTTTGTATACAAAACGTTAGCATGGGGCAGAACTTTATAAAAACCAAACAAATTCTAATGGTTTTCTGAGTTGTTGCTCTTAATCAGATTTTAGTGTATTATAAATGTTTCATTACCGAAAAAAGTAAAAATATGCGACAACTCTTGTTGACTGCCCGGACGATTTAGCTGCTGTGGGCGTATGTTTCATTGCCTGGCAACCTATCTTATATAAAGTAGGGTAGTTACTTAGCTCATAAATCAATGTTATTAACACTCGTCAAAGATTCATATATCATTGATAACACACACCATATAACACTCATGTCATTATCCACTGGTAGTTAAAAAAAAAAATAATGGTTTCTAGCTTTAAGTCACCCATTTAGAAAAGAGTAAAGTCTGTGACTAAGTTATATTATGAGTATTTTCTGCACAGTATAGATTGGTGCTCTAAAAAAAAGATTATAAATTTGTAATTAATTGATGTGTCATTTATTTTGGGATTGCCGTGGGGGACATCGGCTTCACTGTAAAATTGTTTTTCACTTATGATTTTATGCACTAAAAATCTAGAGACAAATTTCTTCGATTTAATCTGTCTTTTTACACGCCCACATTTTCATGTGGACGTATATTGTCATCACCCCTGTCCGTCTGGACATCCGTCCACAATTGTTTGTGGACACTCTACAGGTCACAATTTTTATCATATTTCAACGAAACTTGAAATATAGGTTTATCTTCCTATGACCTCGGTTCCTTTCAATATTGGCATGTATCGGACCGTAACTTCATGGATTATGGCCCCTGATTGTACGAAAAAATGCGTTTTTAGCTTGTGGACCCTCTAGAGGTCACAATTTTTATCCAATTGAAAAAATCGTTTGAATATATCACCGTTACATTGTACATCTCATGGTCGTATATTGTTGTTTAGCTTGTTCTCTTTCCATCTCTTGAAAATTATGTGGGCGTATCCTGCCTGGTAGCCGCTGGTTTAAGAAAAATAACAAAAACAATTCTCAAATGGAATTTAATATCATTTTTATACGCCCACATTGAAATGTGGTTGTATATTGTCGTCGCCCCCGTCCGTCCGTCCGGCATCCACAATCGTCTCGGCCATGAGACGAAGAAGCCTATTGATTTTCAGCGATTTCCGATAATTACTGCCAGAGTTATGGCCCTTGATCACTTCAAAAATTCTTGTGGACGCTCTAAGGCTAAAGTTAATATCCGATTGACTTTAAATTTATACACAGTGTTTAAGGTCATGTGACAAAGAAGCCTATTGATTTTCAGCAATTTCCGGTAATTACTGCCAGAGTTATGGCCCTTGATCACTTCAAAAAATCTTGTGGACGCTCTAGAGGGTAAAGTTAATATCCAATTGACTTTAAATTTATACACAGTGTTTAAGGTCATGTGACAAAGAAGCCTATTGATTTTCAGTGATTTTTCGATAATTACTGCCAGAGTTATGTTCCTTGATCACTTCAAAAAATCTTGTTGACGCTCTAGAGGCTAAAGTTAATATCCGATTGACTTTAAATTTATACACAGTGTTTAAGTCATGAGACGAAGAAGCCTATTGATTTTCAGTGATTTTTCGATAATTACTGCCAGAGTTATGTTCCTTGATCACTTCAAAAAATCTTGTTGACGCTCTAGAGGCTAAAGTTAATATCCGATTGACTTTAAACTTATACACAGTGTTTGAGGTCATTGGACGAAGAATCTTATTGATTTTCAATGATTTCCGATAATTACTGCCAAAGTTATGGCCCTTGAATCTTGTGGATGCTCTAGAGACTAAAGTTAATATCCGATTGACTTTAAATTTATACAGAGTGTTTAAGGTCATGAGATGAAGAAGCCTATTGATTTTCAAAGATTTCCGATAGTTATGGCCCTTGATCATTTTAAAAAATCTTGTGGACACTCTAGAGGCCAAAGTCAATATCCGATTGACTTTAAATTTATACACAGTGTTTAAGGTCATGAGACAAAGAAGCATATTGATTTTCAAAGATTTCCGATAATTACTGCCAAAGTTATAGCCCTTGATCACTTTGAAAAATCTTGTGAGGCTCTAGAGGCTAAAGTTATCATCCGATTGACTTCAGATTGATAGTATGATACACAGAGTTTAAGACTTGAACATCTAAATCAATGATATTAAAAGTTTTGTATACTAAATGTTAGCATGGGGCAGAACTTTATAAAAACCAAACAAATTCTAATGGTTTTCTGATAATTACTTAATGAGTTGTTACTCTTAATCAGATTTTAGTGTATATAAATGTTTCATTACCGATTGCTTTTTATCGTGTGCTACTATTTTTGTTCAATCAGACACATGCGGGATTAACAAAATAACTCGATTAACTAGACTGACGTGATATAAACAATAATATTTTACGGGAATTCTTAGTTTGATTTCTCATTTTACAATATACGTTTACTTTTTTATGGATACACTCGATTTTTTTTTTTTTTTTTTTCAAATTGAATACTGGTATAATTACTCAAAATTGACATATGTCGCAGCATGAGTGGTACTTCTTGATTCCCCATTTCCGATTTAATAGTCACTATCATAGTTATATCCCTGTATTATATAGTATAATGAATTGTGTCTGGGTAGTTCGAGAAATTTTATTTGACATATTTTATACACGTTGAAAGTGTTAAGAAAGCCTTCTAGTCTTCAAAATGTGGATAAAATCTTCGTGTCAATATCCAAAGTGACAGGCGTATTAATGTTTCGCAGTTACTGCGAATCAAAAACATTTTAATTTTTGATTAGCGACTGACAAAATATATATCACAAATTAAGCTGTGATACTGGTTGTCACAGCCCTGTATACCAGAGAGTTACCCTTTGAAATCGGGTGCCACAGAGGCTAATTGAGTAAGGTGCTGGCTCGCTAGTCCTGAGGTCGCAGGTTCGCTTGCCAAAGCGCTGCTGTCTGGGCAAAATTTCTCTAATAAAACACTGCATGATGGTGTATGCCCGTATCCAATAGCCCAGTCGGAGCAGATCAGTAGGATGTTAAATTTCATTTCATTTGAAATCCTCTTAACTCAAACAGTCTTTAGATTTTAATGGTACATGTACATGTATGTCTCAAAAATGCAACATAGGAAGTTCTTAATTAAACATTTTGCTGTCTTGCAGTTTATTAATTCCATGACTATCTGATATTAGTATTTTGCCACCAAAGCTGGTCTTGGTGGTATTTGAAGAGTGGACCTATCCTTTGCTCATTCAATCCACAAACTTCTACTCGAATCCAGGTGCTGGGAACTTTGCGTTGATAAAAACTTGGAAATACCTTCCTGGATAATTGCATAGTGATTGCCAGTTTAATACAGTGAATCCTTATAAACACATTTTATCTGCTTTGTTTTTCTTTTCAGAATTATCTACAATGCCACCCCGTAATATTGTAGCCGAGTTGACTGATCCAGATGGAGATGTTCTATCAGCAGAGGCTGAAGTTGAGCCAGTTATTACAGAAGAAACCCATAGTGCCAAACGTCCTCCAATGAAAGTTGTGTGGAAAAATGTTGTTATCTTTAGTTTGCTTCACCTGGCTTCTTTCTATTCCCTTTTTCTGATTCCAAAGGCGCATTATTATACCTTGATTTGGGGTAAGTTATTTGATTATTTTTATATACCCACATTTTTATGTGGACCTATATTGTCATCTTTCCTGTCCAGTGATGGGATTTTGCCCGTATATTCCGGACTTGTCCGAATCTTTTTTCCAAACGGCCAAAATTGTCCGACCGGGAATATGCCCAATCGGACATCAAGACATGGTGAATAATATTCAAAATTCCGAAATTAATATAGTTTACTGAGTGTATAATTACCACTCAACCAGATTATCGTCGATAATACGCATGGATTGATTAGGTAATTAAGTGATCAACGTATTTATCGTGTTAACGTACCTTGATTAACTACTTAATCTGCCTTGATTGACTGACTTAATCCTTTGTCGGACAATTCATCAATCTAATCTTAAACGGAAGCCATTGTTTCCATTTTGTCGGACTATTCCTCAATCCATTATAATTTTAATCTTCGTTTGTTAACCTTGTGGTTTCTGCATTGACGGACATTTTAATCACATTGATGTGAGCCGACAATATGTATAAACTAGTCATAGAAGTCACATATTGTAAGAGTATATAACGCCCAGATCAATAGACAGTCATTATAATTCGTCTGCTATATCACTTCGGTGGAAGGGAGCGTTAAATAAAGCTATTTCACACACATATATATCCGAAAAATATTAGACATTTCTAGCACGCGGTTACAGCACTCGGGAAACCTCGGCAGATTCCGTTACTCTACATCTAGCTTCGGCTGCATGACGGTAAGTGATATGTACCTACGAACTTGTCGGTTTTAGAAAGAAGTTATCAAAATTGCATCGTTCGAAGCGTGTTAGAATTTTCAGAGCAAAGTTGTCCTTGTTTGAAGAAAATCTGATTAGGTACATATCACTTACCGTCATACAGCGGGGCTGTTTGTAGAGTAATGGAATCTGCCGAGGTTTGCCGAGTGCTATACCGGTATTAGAAATCTCGCGAGACGCGTGAAATTATGAAATGAATACGTGACTAAATTCACGCTTCTAATGTCGAAGAAAAGATTCTATTTTGATGGCATATTCTCGGATTTACGATCATATTTTGAAAGGGGTTTATGTTTTTAAATAAAGAAATAAGTAATCTAGGCAATGTTGACGAATATGTCAATTGAAATAGTGTAAGTACTTAATTGTTTTAGACGATAGCGCGTGCTAGCGATTATTTAGCGGATGGTGTCATTCTTCGGGATATCATATTCTTACCCTCTGTACATAAGTCGTAACGGAATTAAGACGAATGCCGGACTTCTGCTGAAAAATGTAGCGACTTATGACCCGAAAATACAGTAATTTTGAAGGAATTTGAAACAATACAGAGTGGCAGCTGTCGGCACGCTTTCATTCTATTGTATTACAAATTTTGTAGGAATATTACTGACATAAATTTGAATACCGTACAGGAATTAAATATGAAAAATAACGAGGTGCACCTATTTTTATATTACGGACGAATTTGAATATTTTGTTTTACACGTGATTTTTGTGTGTGGTCTAAAAACTGCCATTTTAAATAACGATAAGAGTTATGTCCCTTTATTTTCGGTAAAAATGTCTGACAAGAAAAATTTTGAAATCCCATAACTGCACCTGTCCGTCTTGTCCGTCCACAATTTGTTTGTGGACACTCTACAGGTCAAAAATTTTTTCCGATTTTGACGAAACTTGAAATAAGGTTGATCTCCAAAAGATCTTGGTTCCTTTCGATAATTGGACTTCATGGATGGTGGCCATGATAATTGGACTTCATGGATGGTGGCCACTGATTGTACGAAAAATCAGGTTTTTAGCTTGTGGACATTCTAAGAGGTCACAATTTTTATCCAACTTTGATGGAACTTCAAATGCATGTTTATAACCCATAGATCTCCATTCCTTACGATATTCGCACATATCGGACTGTATCCTCTTTGATTATGGCCCCCGATTGTCGAAAAATCATGTTTTTAGCTTGTGGACATTCTAAATGTCAAAATTTTTATCAGATTTTGATGAAACTTGAAATGTTTGTTTATAACCTAAAGATCTTGGATCCTTTCGATTAGTGCTGATATCAAGTATCGATGCATCGCCGATTCGATTCTGTTCTTTTTTTTGTATTATCGATGCATCGGCAAAAAATACTATTAATTAGCTTTGTGTCCGAGGAGTTCACAAATTCGTCCACTAGAATAAATAACACCCTTTCAATACATTTTTCTGTGTTTTTTATAATTCAAAATAAAACAATATATATGTAACGGAACAATTCAATGAATCCCACACGGTGTATTAGGCTTGACCTGTTTACCCGGTGGAAGCGGACGTAAAATACAACTAACTCACACACCCCCTACGCTTCCGTTATGATGGTCTCCATTTTCCAGTGACTACAAAGATTGCGTTTGCTGGTTACGTCCCCTGGCTATCGTGTCCTTTAACCCCAAGGTCAATTTCACGGTTCATTTAAATGGCCAAACAAACTGTCAGGAGGATAATATTTCCCGGCCGGCTTTTATACGCCCACATTGAAATGTGGTCATATATTGTTGTCGCCCCTGTCCGGCCGGCCGGCGTCCACAATTGCTTGTGGACGCTCTATAGGCTAAAGTTAATATCCGGTTGACTTTAAGTTTATACTCAGTGTTTAAGGTCATAAGACGAAGAAGCCTATTGATTTTCAGCGATTTCCGATAATTACTGCCAGAGTTATGGCCCTTGATCACTTTGAAAAATCTTGGACGCTCTAGAGGCTAAAGTTAATATCCGATTGACTTTAAATTTATACATAGTGTTTAAGGTCACGAGACAAAAAAGCCTATTGATTTTCAGCGATTTCCGATAATTACTGCCAGAGTTATGGCCCTTGATCACTTTGAAAAATCTTGTGGACGCTCTAGAGGCTAAAGTTAATATTTGATTGATTTTAAATTTATACACAGTGTTTAAGGTCATGAGAAGAAGAAGCCTGTTGATTTTCAGCGATTTCCAATAATTACTGCCAGAGTTATGGCCCTTGATCACTTTGAAAAAACTTGTGACGCTCTAGAGGCTAAAGTTATCATCTGATCGACTTCAGATTGATACACACAGAGTTTAAGGTCTTGAGATGAACAAGTATATTGATTCTCAATGAATGTTGATAACTTGAACAGCTAAATTCATATCAAATGTTTTGTTTACTTAACGTTAGCATGGGGTAGAACTTTATAAAAACCAAACAAATTCTAATGAATTTTCTGATAATTACTTAATGAGTTGTTACTCTTAATCAGATTTTAATGTATTATAAATGTTTCATTACTGAAAAAAGTAAAAACTCTTGACTGCCCGGACGATATAGCTGCTGTGGGCGTATGTTTCGTTGCCTGGCAACCTATCTTTAAAGCTAGTTTTAAAACGATTCAGTCTTATTTTCTGTCACGGGCAATAGAAAATGTACTTCATAAATCCCTATAGACAGGCTTTGATACGATCCGTATAACTATGAATAATGCAAATTGTCTCTTGTAACTACCTCACACACACAGCCCTCACGCCTTCACAACAAATTTGAACAATGGCTAATGGGTGTCAATTGAAGTAAATCGGACGATATTAATGTCTTAATAAATAACAGAAGAATATTGTGGAAATAAATTTATTCAAATAAATCAACATTTCTATAATAGGCCTTATGATAATGTTAGGGAAATTTATGTTTCTATCCAAAATACTAATGCTATTTCTGTAATTTTTGATAAACAAAATTGCGGCAAAAAATTCCCAATGCATCAGGTTGTGGACACTCTAGAGGTCAAAATTTTAATCTGATTTTGATGAAACATAAAATAGATGTTTATAGGCCTATCCCAAACATCTCAGTTCTTTTTGGTATTTGCGCATATCAGTCTGTAACTTACTGGATTATGGCCCTTGACTGTAGGAAAAAATTGCGATTTTAGCTTGCGGACCTTCTAGCAGTCACAATTTTTATTCGATTTTATAAATTGTTTAAATATATCACCATAATGATGGTTGACTTCGAATTTTGTGAAAATTGGTCCGAAACTGCCTGACGAAATGGACACTCCTTGTACATAAATAGTGTAAAAGTATGCAATACCAAGGTTGTGGGTTATCCAGAGGTCACATTTACAACCCAAAGATCTTGGTGCCTTTCGATATTAATGCATATTGGACTGTTATATCCTGCATAATGTAACCTGATTGTACGAAAAATCGTGTTTAAGATTGTTCTGTCTATCTCTTGCAAAATGTGGGCGTATCTTGCATGGCAACGCTTGTTTTCTTGCCTTATTATTAATTAAGCTACATATAGTAACATGGTTTACCTCACAAGTTCATCATGGATCCATATATGCATATCTCAAGAGTTAATGGTCCATTTACTTTCAGACTCCCAAGATCTTGTTTCCAGGGAAAATTTCACAAAAATCAGATGATAATTGCTCCCTTTAAAAGTGCAAAAATATTGGCAAAATTATTGCAAATCTATGGATCTAGTCTTTTACATAATGTTATTATGGTAGCTTAGTGTGTTAACTGCTAATGAAAAATGTGAAAAACAAACCCAATAGGCAACGGTTTTTCATATCATCCAAATGATTAGACACTGTTCCTTGCCCGACTCTTTGTCCTGCGCCACTGACAAAGGGAAACTTTGCTGGAAAATCCAGGGCAACTTTCTCGACCAACATCAATATTGAACTCTGACTCTGGGCCTTGTGATTGGTGAGCCAGCGCCTTCATCATCTCGTGGTAGTTTGTAACTGAACTCAATTTAGGTCTTGGGATGTTATTTGCTAACTTGTAAATAGTAGCTGGATATTGATTACCAATTACACAATCATCTGCCCCTGTATCTTCTGACAACCTGTTGAAAGGCTTTTGATGTTGATGACAGTCTTGTTGTTTGCCTTAATAATAAACATGTTTTATTGTTTCTGTTTTTAGTGTTTTTATTCTACCTGATGGGAGGATTAGGTATTACAGCTGGTGCTCACAGACTATGGTCTCATCGTTCATATAAAGCTAAACTTCTATTGAGAATTATTCTTGGTATATTTCAAACTATAGCTGTACAGGTAATTTGTTATATAGTCTCACTTTAAAGGAGGCAAGTCAATATCATCCAGTCTTCGACATAGCAAACACGACTTATTGGTCAATTTAAATCAACATTTTTGTTATCTTACCGTGATAAGTTGGTCTTTTGATATCCAATATTTAAGACTAAATGGAAATTTTAAAGTTGGCACACGAATTGTGAGCCAGAATCCTTTTGAGCGCCATTTGTAATGAAGTGTCTCAATGAACAAGGCTAAACATACACCCATGTAGGAGAATACTACTGGTGTAAACTGAAATAACCAGACCCTAAAGACTGCCATTCAATTCGGACCTTCTCATATTTCGCCCAACATAACTGATTAAAAATTAGAGTAAAAACAAATAATTGAATGTAAATCAGTTTATATACAGTAATATTACATTATTATATGCATTGCAACCCATTTGTGTCCATTTCTAGGTACCAAAGAATAGCGATTTAGCTTCCTTAAAGGTGAACTAGCCAATGATCAATATACATCCGTCCTAGAGTGCTGATAGTCAATTTCACTCTATATAATCAGGAGATCCTCACTGGCCGATTATCAGTAGGGCCATTAGAAGATAGACTTGGTGTCATATTATAATATTGGCACTTTGACAAATCAAATTGATTTTGTCATAGATGTACCCAGTGTTCATGTAATAAAACTGTAATACTAAATGTTTATGAGTGATAGTTTTAAAATTTATTCACTGCAATAACTCCATGGATTCTGAATATACAAAATTAATTCTTACAGTATCTTATAATTGATGTTTTCACTGACCAAGTAGTTACATGTAACTAAAGCACAAACTGTCCCAATTACTGTATTTTACGGGGTATAGGTCGATGTAGAGTATAGGTCAAATTGGCATATTTTATCGTTTTTCCGACCTCCATATGTAAGTCGAAGTGGTATATAAGACGAATGTTTTTCAACTCCACGATAGCAATCTATTATTGAGTTTCAGGACTGTTAACCTAACTCTAATACTGCACCGGTGTATGGCGAGAAAAATTGGCCCATAATATTAATTAATGTAAAATAATCCGTTCATAAATGTAGGACTAACTTGATTAATATTCCAAGTTGTGTTCTTGGTTTATTTGAACCAATGTATACAATAAATATAAGACAAAGCAGGCTCTGTTTCTAATCAAACTTGGTTATAATGTACGTTACTAAAAATAGAAAAAAGAAAACAACGCAGTATAATATGATTGATTAATTTAGCTGAAAACTAAAAGTAGAAATCTCGCGAGATGTGTGAAATTACGAGAAAAGGAAACGTGCCAATTTTGACGAATGTCTGTGAAAAAAATCCTGTCGAGATGGCATATTTTCGGGTTGATGATAATATTTTGAGGTGGGGGTGGGTGGGTTATGTTTTTAAATAAAGAATTAAACAAGCTAAGGAATTTCTACAAATATTTTGTTTGAAATAGTGTTCTAAGTAGTTTTGTTTTAGATAAGGATGTAAACGGTCACTCGGTTAACCAGTCATGGTTCGGTTGCACTGTTGAACCGGTTCAAAAAATTACTAACCAACCTACAAACCCAGGAATGGTAGCCACAATATTGTTTCTTCCACTATGACTCGAGACCACATAAATACTCCAAATAACACATGTCATTTGTAATACATCACCAGAAGTTAACGTCTTTAAATTCCCACTCAAAGGTTTTTATACGTTATTGGAACTCGCTGCCAAGCATTAAATAGACTCTGCTGATTGACAAATTAATTGTTTTACAGTATTTATTAACCTCATCACAAAGTCTCAAAACGAAACAAGTTTGATCTGAGGAAATATTAAAATAGACTGGATATAATAGTAGAATTGTTTATATTATCAATCAGCTCCCCATGCTGTCTATACCTGACCCGTCAAAATAACGTGAAAGATGGATAAATGAATGAATGAATGAATGGAATTTGTACACTGTTACAGAAAAACTGTAATACTAATAATTTAAAAATATATTATCAAGTCTTCCTGTGGTACAACAAATATTTTAATAGAAATTTTTTATCTGTTAACCGGTTGCGGTTGGATTTTTAAAGACCAGTTAACCAGTTCAATAATTTTTGAACCGTTACATCCTTAGTTTTAGAGATTGTGCGGGCGGCATCATGGGGCGACACTATATAGGGAAAAAAATTTTTTTAGAGATGGCATTTTTTACCTTCATCCGTATATAATTTGAAGCGGAGTACAAGATAAAGAACGAACTTCAGCAGAAAAGAATATCGACTTATACCCCGAAAAATCTGGTACTGATGTAACATGCTTGTAGGTCACAGCATTTAAATATTGTCTGTGTACATGTTACCGCTAGGATGAACTAGAAGTTTTAATCAAATTTTGATGATGACTTCGTGAGTTGTTACCCACACAAAAGTATAAAAATGTGACAATCTTGAGCTGCTAGTACATCTTAGCTGATGTGGGGGTAGGTTTTGATTCCTGGCAACCTTTCTTTGTTCATTCCTATTATGTTGCCGGTTTTAATTTGGATATTTTATTTTTATATTTAAAGAATGATATAATTGAATGGGCACGAGATCATAGATTACATCATAAAACCTCCGAGACTGATGCAGATCCCCATAATGCCAAGAGAGGGTTTTTCTTCGCCCATATTGGTTGGCTTTTGGTGCGTAAACATCCAGAAGTTAAAAATAAAGGGAAGACTGTTGATTTGTCAGATTTGTATGCTGATCCAGTGTGTGTCGTTCAGAGAAAGTGAGTAAATTCGCTTGTCAATATCAAAATACAATTAAAGTTTAATCCCATTTAATCCATGTTTTCTTTAGAAGCATTATTTATCTTCTGAAATGATGGAAGTTCTGTGTTCATCTTAATTAGTTTCACAGATAAATATAATCCATGGAAATACCACATATGGGGGTTTCTTAGAAACCCCACTTTGGGGTTTTTGCTTATGTTAGGGTGCCCTGTGCAGTGAAAATTTCCCTACAGACAGTTGAACTTGACACGCCGAATGTGCATGCTTCAGTGGCTTGTCTCGAAGTGATTTCTGGCTAATCATGCAGTTCGATAACAGATACTATAAATAGCCATTGCACGTGAAATTAGCTACACATCTATCAACTATTACAGGCGTAAAAAAACTATTGTTGACGATTATGAATAGCAGTAATATTTAGCTTTTTATGCGCCCACATTTTTATGTGGATGTATATTGTCGTCGTCCCTGTCCATCCAGACGTCCGTGAGTCCGTCCACAATTTGTTTGTGGACACTATAATGGTCAGAATTCTTATCCAATTTTGACGAAACTTGAAATATAGGTTTATCTCCAAAAGATGTGTTGGATCAAAACTTCATGGATTATGGCACCTGATTGTACGAAAAATCACGTTTTGGCTTGTGGACACTCTAGAGGTCATAATTTTCATCTGATTTTGATGAAACTTGAAATGCATGTTTATAACCCAAAGATCTTGTTTCCTTTGGATATTTGCGCATATCGGATCGTAACTTCCTGAATTATGGTCCCTGATTGTAAGAAAAATCACGTTTTTAGCTTGAGATCACAATTATTATCCGATTTAAAAAAAAATGTGTGAATATATCACTGTGATGTTTGAGTTCAAATTTCGTGAAAATCGGACCAAAACTGCCAAACAAAATGGCCGCCCCTGGCACTCTAATAGTGCAATATTGGTCATGGTATATCAAGGTTGTGGACCCTCTAGAGGTCACAATTTTAATCCGATTTTAATGAAGCTGGAAATAAATGTTTGTAACCCAAAGATCTTGGTTCATTTCGATATTCGCGCATATCGGATTGTAACTTCCTGAATTGTGGCCCTTGATTGTATAAAATTTAGAGGTCACAATTTTTATCCGATTTAAAAAAAAAAAAGTGTAAATATATCACTGTTACACACTAAGTTCTTGATTCATTTTGATATCCGAACGTAACTTCTGGATTATGGCCCCTGATTGTTCGAAAAATCACATTTTTAGCTTGCGGATTCTCTAGAGGTCACAATTTTTTTTACGTTTTTAAAAAACGTTTAAATGTATCACCATTCCACCATAATGAAGGCTGAATTCAAATTCCGGGAAAATTGAAATGAAACTGCCAACAAAATGGTTGCTCTTTGTACGCAAATAGTGTAAAAGTATGTAATACCAAGGTTGTGGACCCTCTGGAGGTCACAATTTTGATCCGATTTTGATGAAACTTGAAATGTATGTTCATTTCATAACCCAAAGATCTCAGTTCCTTTCGATATTTTTGCATATCGGACCATATCTTTCTGGAATATGGCCCCTGATTGTACAAAAAATCGCATTATTTTTTTTTTAGCTCGTTCTGTCCATCTCTTGCAAAATGTGGGCATATCTTGCATGGCAACCACTTGTTGGTTATTACAGCACTTCTTTATCATTTGCTTTGATAAAGTAGAGGGTATCATCGTCGAAACGTTGCATGTTAATAAACCAGTAATTGTTATTCCATAAATAGTGTTAGTGGGTTATTACAGCAGCGTTAGAAATAACATTTGTTTTATTTTTTAAATTGCTTTATCATTAACTATATCGTTAGGAGCGGCATCTTTTGGTTTAGTACAAATATCTCTGAAAAACTTGGGTTAGGCAAGAACATGGTACTAGTAGTAGTTTCAGTTTACTTTTCAAGATTCTTAAAACCATAGTTGACTTGCCTAACGTGCGTGTTTATAAATTCAATTTCTTGTTCTAGCTTTCTGTTATGTTTCGTAAAAAAGTAGTCTTGATTATCCCGGTCTGTCAGACGTAGAATGGTCGGTAGACTGGTTAAGCGAGACTAAGTTCAAAACAAGGGCATGTAACTTATTTTTTTACTCAAGTGCCTGGATGTTATGGCCGACACTCATAACCATTTTTCAGTCTATTTAAGGATGGTTAAATGGTCATAGCTTATTAAGTACAACATGATCGTTTATTTAGTGACTATAAATGTCTGAAACTGATTTAAGGCTTGGTATATATATATATAAATATTGTGTAATTGTCAAGATATTTGGAAATGTTTATTTGTGGTGGGGCACCCTACTTGTGTGGTAAAACATCATGGATGTCTAAAATGATATCACAAATTGCAATCATAGAATTACATAACTTCAGCCATTGGATTGAGACTTTGCTATTTGTGTTTGTCTCGAGTTAAACTGTCTGAAATGTTTCGGATTGTAACAATTATTGGGGGTTACAGCAAAATTTTAGATTGCCAGAGATTTCCTTTCTAAACTTGTTCATGTTCGCCATTAGGCTAGTTACATGTAGTGCTGAAAAGTAGGACTTTAAGCCCCATTTCATTTTCATCTTCTCATAGGGAGTTAAAATGTTGCTTCCATCTTTATCTATTGACAATATGTCTTTTTTTTATCTGTTTAATAAATGTGATTTGTATTTTTACAGAATATACAGACCTGCTGTGATATTGTTGTCTTTTGTACTTCCTGCTGTTATTCCATATTACTGTTGGGGAGAGAGCTTATGGAATGCCTTCTATCTTGCCAGTATATTAAGATTATGTATTGGACTGAATGTAACCTGGTTGGTAAATAGTGCTGCACATATCTTTGGAAACCACCCTTATGATCGCCGTATTAGTCCTGCCCAGAATGTTGGTGTGACACTTGGAGCTATTGGAGAGGGATTCCACAATTATCATCATGTCTTCCCTTATGACTATTCAACAAGCGAATATGGTTGGTACTATAATCTTACTACATTCTTTATAGATTTTTGGGCCTACTTTGGTCAAGTGACAGAGAGGAGAAAGATTCCAAAAGAAGTTATAGAAAGAAGGAAAAAAAGAACTGGAGATGGTACAGAAGGCTTCAACTTCTGAACTTTGTGATGGAAGACAAGTTGATAATATGGTGTGTGTGTGTCTGGATATTCACTTTGACAGCCATATTTGTATTCAAATGTAGAATATATGATGGTATTGACTGGACTATCCAGTAATACTAATCTAAAGTCTCAATCACAGAATGCACCTTTTGTTTGAATAATGATTTGAGACTTACAACATCTACAATAACACAATATAAATGTATTCTTCAAATAATCACCTACATAATGGTATTATTTTATGACATGCATTCACTGAGTTAATATATTTTGATAATGACATTTAGATATGTGTCAAAGAAATCATTTGAGTTGTTTACTTGCAGTAGATCAAATATTCATAGAAAACTCACTGGATTTAGATGGACCATATACATATCTCAAAATCTCTAGTAATTTTGTCGGCTATAATGTTCTGTATTAGCCAAAGCTTAAAATGTTGTATTAATATTCATGACACTGTATATCATAGATGCGATTTCAAAATTTATAGTTTCAATTTATTATGTTCTTTTTTTATGATTTATTTTCTTGTCTTGAATAATATTTATAAAAAAAAAAAGGATTTGTTTTATTATCAAACTTTCTAGCATTTATCTGTATTCTACTAATTAAAAATAGTGCTAAATTATACTTACAATTTATGGCTTAGTTTTCAGTATTGTCAAATTAATTTAAATTAATTGCCCACTAATTAATAGAATAGGATGAATGGGAGTGATGTTTATGTGATTGTTGTATCTGCCAGCTGGTTCATAAATTTCAATTTGATTGTACTAACTCTTAAATCTAGAATCCAGATCTTGATAAAATCTTTTAGCAGCTGATAAGTTTTCAAATTGTGCATCTATAAACAGTTACCTGTCGCGTTTTTTGTTTATTTCAAATGTTAGTGCTTATTTTTCTTATGGGTAACTTTTTCTACATGTGCTATTTTTGTGTGAAATTGAGGACAGATAGTCGTGTAACTTGTATCTTTCGTCCGATTTATTCAGTTCAAACTTCTTGATGGTATTCTTTACAAAATATCCTGGTTTGATGATTAGGTCATAAGCACATCTTTTGATATTCAGATTTATTTCAGTTACAGATTGGTTAGATAAGTATATGTTAATGTGCTCACTTGTGAAATCTTATGTATATTGTATAGTTCATGAAAAATTTTCAGAGTCGAATTATACTCACTCAGAATCCGATACAATACATTCCGAAAGCATTTTTAAGACTTTGATTGGATCTGAAACAAATGAAATATTTGTAGGATAATTAAGTAAGTTTTCTGGCTCTCTGTCTAAGGGTTGAATGTATAAGTTTGTAATTTATAATCAGTCAAATTTGTAAACCAGCTGGCTAATAGGATCAGATTCTATATGCCAAAATTGGCAAGTAGCACACAAACTTCTAAGCCAAGCCTTTTTTTCAAAAAGGATTTATTTTTCACATGATTATTTGGAAGTATCCGTATAGACTATTTTAAGTGTTCATTGATACCAGGGCTTGACTAGTAGTTAAGACATCAGGATGACATTTTGGTAACCATCTTGTAATGTTATTCTGGTTTTAAACCAAATTTCAATCTGAACTCCTGTTACACACGGTTCGTGTTTGAACAGTTCATTACTTCTTGTGAGAAATGGTGGAAAGTATTCAAAAAGTAGGACAAGCTTGAAAGTTATAAACTGTGCTTATGTGTAGTCTGCTGAGTAGTATTGCTTATGTGTCTGCTGAGTAGTATTGTATACCTTCGTGTTGTGTTAACTATGACCTACCAATTCAAGTTTTTGCATTGGAAACTACACTTCAACAGTAATGTATGTTATCTCCAGCTAGAGTTATCACACTTTAGGCCAATATAATGGTGAACTAAGTCTATAGTCAATAAATTAACTGGACACCATTTTAAAGCCAAATCTATAGTTTTAGAACCATAGTATTGTTTCAACTGGTTTCTCATTAGTATGTAAGGACAGGTTAAATGAAATTGCTTTGTTGGCCTGTGACGTTAGCATAATACTATGTAGTACTCTCATTAGACAGCCCATCAACAGAGGTCTCTTATTGACTCAGGACAGTGCTTGCTTCATTTTGTTTGGATTTGCTGTATATAAGCCAAAAAACACCTGAACTGGCATGAAAATATTTTAGTTATAGTTTTTGTATCTACAAATATAAGCACATAAATATACATTTAAATGCTAAAATTCTTATTTTTGAACGAAAAAAATCTTGCAACGTCAAAAGTGGCTGGAAAAAGTTTGAAGTTAACGCTGTGGTTGTAACCTTGAATTTGGAAGGAAATGTTAATACACAAATGTTTAAGACTACAAGATAAACTGTTTGAATAAACTTGAATACTCCAAATTTCTTTTTGTCTTGAAAAAAGCTTCCATATACTTAAAAACATTTTATACAACTTATTGTATACACTTCTGAGTAGATATCATTTTGGTTAAATAAAGGATATTTTATTTTTGTTAATTATATTTGTTAACTTTTCAAAATAGCTTAATGCACTTAAAATATTGTTATTTTCAACTAGTTTGTTTCTACATTTAAATGTTTTTCATCATAAATACTATAAAAACTTCAAATTAAAATATAACTTAAATAATATTACTTTTCCAAATTCAAAACGAAATTACTGTACATTTATATAATTGATTATCAGGACTTTCTATAACTCTAGTCCCATGTATTTGATGTTTAAAGAAATACTATTATTTATTGTAATAACAGTTATCATCAACTAAATATACTGAAAAATGTCCTCAAGAATAATTTAATATTTTGGTTTGTATTCAGTTTTGTTTCATGTTGATGAATTTGATAACTTATTTAAAAAAAAAATATAAAAAAAAATAACTTATTTATTGTTTTGAAATTATTTGTATACCTAGTCAAACCTGGGAGTAAAATACAAAATACCATTGCCTTTCTTGTTTTAGAAAGGATTTTTGTCCCCCGCCTTTTGAAGAAAGCAGGGGACTATTAAAATGGGTTTGTCCGTCACACTTTTTGGGACACAATAACTCTCTTTCTAATTGAGCTAGAATATTCAAACTTGGTGTAGGTGTTTATTAGGTCAATGCCTTGATGGAGTTAGAAGATGAGCATTTTCTGTTTAGGGTAAGCAGAGATAAGCAATTTGATTGCTTGATGCTTTGGGACACGATAACTTTAGTTCTAATTGAGAGTGATGAAACTTGGTGTATAGTTTCATTACCTCAGTACCTTGGCCAAGTTCGATAATGAGCATTTTCTGCTCGGGGGTAAGCAGAGGATAAGCAGTTTGATTGGCCCGAGACTTTGGAACACAATAATTCTTCTTCTTATGGAGCTAGAATGTTCAAACTTGGTGTAGGTGTTTATTAAGTCACTGCCTTGATGGAGTTCGAAGATGAACATTTTCTGCTTAGGGTAAGCAGAGTGATAAGCAATTTGATTAGTCTAGACTTTGGAACACAATAACTCTCATTCTAATTGAGTTATGTTCACACTTGGCGTAGGTGTCTATTAGGTAAATGCCTTGATGGAGTTCGAAGATGAGAATTTTCTGCTTAGGGTAAGCAGAGATAAGCAGTTTGATTGGTTGATGCTTTGGGACACAATAACTGTAGTTCTAATTAAGTGAGAGTGAGGACACTTGGTGTATGGCTTTATTAGGTAAATGTCTTGACTGAGTTCAATGATTAACATTTCGAGCTGACCCTAAGCAGAGCTAATTGATTTCATTTGTCGATGGTTTGGGACAAGATAATCTTGATTCTATCTGATAGAGATTGGTGAAACTTAGTGTATGGTTTGATTGCTCGATACTTTTGAAAAAAATAAATGGGCGATTAATTAATGTGTCATCTTTTTATTTTGGGATTTCGGCGGGGGACATCAGCCTCACTGTTGACTTGTTTATCCCTCTTTTTAGTCATTGGTTCAAGGATCTGAAAGTGTTATTACAAGATTTATCTGTAATATCAAGAAGAATGTAATGGGAATTAACTTTGTACACCAGGGTATTGATAAAGGCACTACTGGGCATATTTTAATTGAAAGGAAACATTTTGATTCCTCAAGAGCTGACTCATACTGGAGTTATTCCCCTTGATATCCCGAGATCACTACTTTGATCAATGTTGCTACTCCCGGATTTTAGTTGTGTGTGTGTTACACCATATTCCTGAAGCAATGGACCGAGAAATCCCTATGCTGGATTAGCTTCTGATACTTGAGCTTTTGAGGGAGTGTGTCTATTCTTCCCGTTCAATCAAATCTATCCAAAAGCAAAGCAACCTGACAGCCCTTCGTTTAATCAGGGGTCATCCCTAAAACTCTTGACACTGATTTAAGGTATTAAAAATGGTGAAAGTGTTGTTCGTCTCAAAACAATATTGTTTACATTATATCCACAGAGTAAAAGTCGTGTTGACAATTGATAGCCTTTTTTTGTCACACAATTAGTTTTTCTGCAATATTCTGCCATGCACTGGTTAATTGGGAATAATTAAATCGTGAGTCATGACGTAACGTTATGTAAACATATTTGGTCCAATTTGGAGCTCTGTTTGGTAGTGTTACACATTAAGCTATTGGCTGTTAATCGGACTATTGACCAGTCATAATTTAGAACAAGAATTTGCTTTGTTTACAGCAGTGAGTAGTAGCCCAGGCAAGATAGCAAAAGTGCGGGCAGTTGCTGCAATAGAAATGCCGATCACGGTTTATGGTTGGTTTAGACGTATATTATGACCAAAAAAAAGTCCCAGTCCGAAATCCCTGGTCAAATTGGCCAAAATCCAAAATGGCCACCACTTTTGGCTTGTAAATTCCAATTTCCACCCAATTATCACAATATGATCGAGTTTGGTATCAAAATATACGTTTTCGGGGTAACTGAATCCATTTCCATACACATTTTTGTGATAAGTGTTACCACTGAGTCAATATTAGGGGTTATTTAAGATGGTGGTCAGTTTTGGCGGGAAAATTCGAATTTTACATAAGGATCAAGTTTGGTGTCAAAATATGTTTTCGAGGTAGCTGAATCTATTTTTGTACATATTTTAGTGATTAAGTGATTCCTTGTGTCAATATAGGAGAAATTTTAATTTGGGATTTAGATTTCCGATTAGGGATTGGAGATTAATGATACTCCTACCTTAGACCTAATACAATGACTTTCATCGAATATTGTGCCCCCTTTTTCTGCTGCCCTTCCCTTGTTCCAACTAACTCCAGAGATACTACAAAGTCCGTTTTTCATTGATCATATAAGGGCCCCATACGCGCTCAATTAGACCATGATTTCCACGGATGACTTCCAGAATAAATTTTACAGACGGATTAATATTTCCATAATATCCAGAATCAGCTAATTTGTCTTAGTTTTATTTATATATCTAAATGAATTTAGGAAAATTGCAACACGGGCGACGGGAACCATTATTGCCGGTTAGCATACTCAGGGCCAATACGCAAACCGTCACAACGAATGACATTTAATCTGTCACCAGTAACTTCCTTGGTCTGGCTTAAAGTGTATTTTGATCGTCGTCTCGTTCTTGGGGTTGTCAGTCTACTTTCAATTCTACCTCCCTACCCCTTCAATTCTTGCTGCCCTTCCCTTGTTCCAACTAACTCCAGAGATACTACAAAGTCCGTTTTTCATTGATCATATAAGGGCCCCATACGCGCTCAATTAGACCATGATTTCCACGGATGACTTCCAGAATAAATTTTACAGACGGATTAATATTTCCATAATATCCAGAATCAGCTAATTTGTCTTAGTTTTATTTATATATCTAAATGAATTTAGGAAAATTGCAACACGGGCGACGGGAACCATTATTGCCGGTTAGCATACTCAGGGCCAATACGCAAACCGTCACAACGAATGACATTTAATCTGTCACCAGTAACTTCCTTGGTCTGGCTTAAAGTGTATTTTGATCGTCGTCTCGTTCTTGGGGTTGTCAGTCTACTTTCAATTCTACCTCCCTACCCCTACCCTCATTAGGGAACAGAATCGGATGAAACTTGGCAGGTACCCTTTGCAAGGAATACCAGTCCCTTTGGATGCTTGTTTTTCGTTATTCACAGGCCGCTTAGTTCTTGATTGCAGTTAACTATGTTCATGTTCGGATCTTTGTGACTTAATCATAATCCCTTAACCAAGTGTCAATGTATGGTATACCATGGCATATACGTCGAATCGTTTCTACCACGTGCCACAGAACTCAAATTTTCCCCAATCCTACCCCCCCCCCCTAAATTGCCCTAACTTTGGTCTGCCTATCCTCGGAGGCCCTAGCACGACCTTGGCTTATTGTAGAACTTAGTCATGACTTTACACCAAGTTTTATTCTGTCCTAAATTCTCTGCCATTGACATTGGTATCTCCGCTCATTTTTGAACGTAAGCCAAGAATCTTAATCGGCTCATTATTGTCGGCTTCCAATACCCGTTATCTTTCCGTCATTTTGGGAATGGCGATGGGCAGTTCACTGCATATCTGACAAACAGGCGATATTGTATCCATCTGTGCCTCAACATTTGAATCATTTTCTGAAATAAATTCGCCACGTGTTGGCTATCTTGGCTCAATTTTCGAGGTTGGTGATCGAAATCGGACACGCCCACAACACTGCGTCCACAGTGGGCTGAGAGTGGCCCCTTTCGTCATGCCTGCTACGCTGCTTCCGTAGTGAGCAGTGGTCGACCAGAGCGTCTAAATCAAATTTAGTCGATGCTTGATGAATGCCATCGTATTAGATCTGAGGCGGACTCGACCACTCGTAATCCCCAAATCTCCAATGGGATTTCCCATTATTTTGACCCAGGGGAACCAGTTAATTACCAAGATGGAAAAAATGTGTTGAAAATGAGATCAGCTGCTTCCAAAACATATATTTTGGCACCAAATGTGGTAATTTTGTAAAATTCGAATTTTCCCTCCAAAAACTGGCCGCCATCTGGAATTATTTGTAATTTGTATACGCCCACCTTGAAATGTGGTTGTCTATTTGTCTATTTGTCTCTCATAACCTGTGGGAGCTCGAGCAGCTAAAGTTATCCAATTGACTTGAAAATGATAAACCATATAAGTATGGGCGCACCATAAAGCCGAGTGATATTGTTTGTTTATCACAACAAGATTGACCTAGCGCCCAACCAATGTCACTTGGTTTTATGGGTGCCTCGCCAAACATTTTATATATGAACCGCGCCCCAAATAGTGAGGTGCCTCATAATGAATCACACTTGATTGATGGGGTGCCCAAAACGGCGTGATGTGTGGGGTGTCTTATCCCGGAGGGGCGCCCATAAAGACATGATTGGTGGGGTGCCTTTTAATGATAATATATAATTGTCGGGCCCCACACAATGCATAATGGCGCGTGAGATTGGTTGGGTGCCCACGGCTTGATCAATGGGGCGTCTGAAACGGCATGATTGGTCTGGTGCCTGATCCTGGAGGGGCGCCCATTATGCCGAGATTGGTGCACCACCCATGAGATTATGGGCGCCCATAAAATAATTGACAGGGCACCCTTTAATACCAAGTGAGATTGGTTAGGCGCCCACGAATGAATTTATATTCCTTCCTTCAAATTTTTAGGATGTTCATATCAAAATAAAATATAATACGCCAAATTTTCATAGTTCCTCTCCTTGAGTGTAAACCCTATTTTCCAAAGTTTTCTGGGGGAGTGCATTCTAGAGGTGCATCCACCCTGCCGTTCGTCATGGACCGTCAACTATATAGGGACGTCAACTATATAGGGACATCGGTGCCCCCAGAAGCACTTGCCCCCGCCCCACTCCCCAACATTTTTTGGTTTCCTACAGCCCTGAAGAGACAAAAAAGAA